TAATTCTTAGTATATTCAAATTTTTGAGACTCAATATTATGAAATTTGTTCCATGCTATCCTAGTAGAGCATAAATTTTTTTAAGCTTGCTTAAGTCAGTCGGACTTGCAGGTTCAGATGCATTAAAATGAGTAATGCTGGACTGAAAAGAATAGAAAACCAATACCAAGATCATGTAAGTAAAATAAGTTTACTGCAACCAAAATCCTAGTTTGATGGATACTCCAAGGTCAAATCCCTTAATTATTAAGGGAATTTCTTCTTGGCATGGTATGTCATTTAACTATTAAGGGAGTTTCTTCTTAGCATGGTATATAATTTGAGTCACGATCAGCTTGGATTTCAAGGAGTATCTTCTACTGTCTTGAGAGCCTCCCAATGATTCATACCTTTCAGTCGGGCCATTATCCTAACAGCCAAGTTGGTAGTTTTCACCATTGATTGTAGGTGGTGAACGTGCTCCTGAACTTGGAGGCTAAAGCACGACTTGTTTTACCCATTACATCTAATTTTTTTACATTATTATCTAACTTACTTTACACACTTAATTTAACTTGTTATACTTGAAGTCTAACTATTCTTCTACTCAGTATCTTACATTTAATGTTTTGCTTTTCTTAAATCAATATTTTGCTTTTCTTAAACTCATCTTACACATCACATCTTATGCTCAATATCTTGCTTTCTTATGCTCAACTTATTTTTCTTTTAGACTCCAAGTTTATTCACACATTACAACATGTAACCTTTTTTTCAAAGCTTAAGCTAAGCATAAAAGCAACTAGTCAAACTTCAATACTTCGTCATTGTGTTCTCTTATCCCAAGGAAGCATCCTTTTCACTGCTGATTTAGAATAATGGAAAGTGTTCTGTCCATACTCTAATGAGATTTGATCCATTTCACTTGTTCTTGCACCAAGAGAAGACCTGAACAATCTTTGATTTGTAGGTAGAAAAATTAAAGGAACATTGGTTGCCCTTTCAATTTTTTTTTAGTTCCAAGGCAGACAGAAGACCTAAGTAAACAGACATCTCTTCAATAAAGACTCAAAGCTTCTATAAACAGATGCTGAATATTTTGTGAAACTAATTCTGTAGTTTTGGGTGGTGAGTTTAAACAGCTAATATGATAAAACATCTTGTTAATGATAGACTATATTTTTTTATTTTAAAAAAATATATGTAAAAGCATCTTGAGATGCTTTTATTGTAACTATTTGTGTTATACATGCATGTATTCATGTATTTGGTTGTATTGTCGATAAAAACTTACAGTTTTGGACCTCACATTAAGGGTATTTCTAATGTGAGGAGAATAGAGGGAAAGCAAAATAATTTTCATTTTCCTTTGTCTGAAAATTAACATTTTGGAGGGAAAGGAAATAGAGGAAAGTTACGGACGCCAATGCTCTTTTGTTTCAGTAGTTGATTCCTTTGTGAAGTATGTTAAGGGCCCATGGATGATATAAATATCAATTTTCCTTGTGTTCTATTTTCTTGTTTTAATGATTCTTTGGAGTTTCCAGTCTTTAGGTTGCTTAATTTCATATTTTGCGGCTTCTATTCTAGGTTCAAAGATAATAGGAAAGCAGCTGATGCCTCTTGTAAGGATTTTATCCCCTCCAGCAGTACTCCTGAAAGATATCAATTCTAAGTCTAAATTTGTGGATTGATAGCTTTCAGGTTTGGAATAGGGAATGAAGCCAGTGGTCCGTGTAGCATAGGATAACTTATTATATTGATGTCTGGTGTAAATTGCTTGCTCTGAAATTAATTTAGATGATATAAATATTTGTTCAATCTCTTTTTGTCTCTTTTAAATCTTTGTGCCATTCACAATAGATGTACTGAACTCTCTCTCTCTCTCTCTCTCTCTCTCTCTCTCTCTCTCTCTCTCTCTCTCTCTCTCTCACTCATATGAATGTCACTGTGCTTGGATGCGTCTGCATATAATATATAGCTCTGATTCTGGTTTGTGAATCTTGTTTTTGGAATGTGTGATGGTTCGCGATTGCTTAGAACGGAATGCTGTAATTGTGACTCTGCATCTGTTGTACTATTTAGTGCCTCCTTACAGCAAGGGAAGCATCCACATCTCTATATCTATATTTCAAAAGAGAAGAATACATGTTCATAAGAATTGTGCTACATGGTTTTCTGGATTTATGAAAAGTGTAGACAATTCTCAATTTAGATCCTAACAGTTATTAAACGGGTTGCGACTGTTTGAAGTATATCAGGTTTTGATGGATAATGTTATTATTATTATTATTATTTTTTAACGGTAGTCGTGAATCACCCGCCTTCATAACCTTTAAAATCCCAATCATTTGTAATATCTCGAGACCACAGAGTAATGACCGTACTCTGGCGAATTCAATTGAAACCGGAGTTAGAATTCTGTGCATTCCTAGGAGCAAGACTGGAAACGAACTGTATAGAATGATAAAATAATTTGGATTCATGTAAAATGCTACTTGAAATTAACTCACAATAGATCTGTTTGAGTCGGAGGGTATGCGTGATGCATTTTCTAGGGCGGTCATTGCTTGGAGGTTGGGTTCTATTAGAATTAGCAAAATTTGAAATGTTTTACTCCATCTCCATATCAAATTCTATATGATCAACTGGTTATTTTCTTTACTTATATTAATAAATAAGAATTAACAATAGATTTTACACAAATTATAGATTTGTAAAACACATAGTTTTATTCTTGTTGGCTGTTTACATCAGAAATATATGTTATAGTTTCTTTATTTGTGGACAAATTAATTTGAGTGTCATAATATATTGACACACAATCATCAATTTGTTGACATATAAAGTTAGGGAGATACACCCTTTCAAATATGTAAAATTGGTAATATTTTATTTTATTTTTGGCTAATACGATTAAATATTCATTACTTAATAATCTGTAATTAGTCGTACGATTCAAAGTTCGGGATTAGAGATTAGAGATTAGAATTAGCCATGTTTACATATTATGAATTTTGTCCCTGATTTATGTTATCAAAAATATGTTTAATTGCTACTGAGTTTGAAAACAGTATTTTCGATACAGAAATAAAAAGTGTTAAAATTCTGAGAATACTAATTTCATTCTCTAATAACAAT